GTCTTTTTAAATTTTTATCATTCTCTTTCCAATTTCACACTTTCATTTGGTAACCACTGATTTAATGACCCCAAATTATTTGATAAATTGAAAACCTACATTTACATGCCCAAATCGAAATCGTCGACTGCCGAGTCCGATTTTACCTCTCAATGCCCATCAAAGCAGCGACCTCCAACCACGACCACCGATCGTTGACCATTAGAAATCTGTTTAAAATTTTAATTATGGTACGGAACCGAACCGAACAAAACCGAACCCGAACGGTTCCATAATTATATTTGGACCCGACGGTTCTATTTATTAAATACCCGAAAATTTTGGTTCGGTTCGGTTCATTTCAGAACCGAATCGGATCATGTCCAACCCTATTTCAAACTGTCAAATTATGTGTCGACACGTGTCCCCTTGTTTTTTAACCTATCATTAAACCTGTTTGTATAGCATAACTCATACAAAAATTAATGACCTATTTGTGTCCAATAAATACAGCATGTTTGTAGGGAAGAGATAGAACTATCAAAGTCCACTTTCTACTAGATCTTTAAATTGAGTATTATCTTACAAAAATATAGTAAGAACATCATACCAAAAGTATTGAGGATATAAACAAAAGTAATTATTCACAAACACATAATATTGCTCTAATTTTAGTTTATTTTGGTTTTTGCTTTTAAACTCATAAAATTTTACAACAAAAAAATGGAGGATGTTAGCCTCGATTTCTGAACGGATGACATGACCAACATATCTCGACTCCATTCATGTTCACGTTGCCTTTCTCCTACATAATTGGAGAAATCAATAGGAACACGTGCTTCTCTAAGATGGAGAAAGTGATCACATGCACTACCGACGGTCAAGACAGTCACTAGTGTAGAGGTATTTGGGTGTGAGACGTGTGAAAGATGTGAGCCACAATAGTATTAGAAAACTGGGGTATGGTAGAACAAAATGTGATAGCAATGTTAGGATTGAGTATGTAAAATTGCATTACCAGCTAGGGCATACCTGTGTTTCGCGAGGCTTAAGGCGAACCTCAAAATTTAGGCTCCTAAATCGTAGCAAACAATCAATTTATATCATTTATAAGAGTTTTATGGAACTAAATTTGTTAAGTTAAAACTAACAATAAAGCAACAAATAAAATCAATATTCAAAATATTTATATTACAATCAAATAATAATGCGAAAATGTTCTAAACGATCACTTAAATACAACTTGTCTTGCGGTTCAAGAGGCAAAAATATCAATAATTTTGGATAGTCGAATTGTTCGACCATCCAATCTTTGTTGTGACAGTTGATCAGAGATAAGTTTTGATCAATTTCAACTTAGAAAAAGTTCTTTCTGTTGATGCAACTGTAACCAGTATGGTTAACAAAATCTTATAAGCAATGCAAGCATTTGAGAAACAACTGTTCATTTTCTTTAAGTAATGTAGTACATCAATTGCTCTTTTTGTTACTCTTAGTAAATAGCACTTCAAGATTGTCGACTCCAAACATAAGGAATCGCCAATAATGTCTGAATGTCAATTATGTTTCAAATATTGTTCA